GAAAGAAATTTCACTGCCGAAACGATCTATGTATTCTTTTCATGTTGCTCATGCTCATGCTTAATATCCCTGAATCTAACAAAAAATGTTCTGTCGGGCCACACATGAACACAGCGTCTCAAGCTTCGTGTGCGTGTATAAATCTTATGGCGGGCTGATCAAGTGGCCTTCATTGTGATAGAGGTGGAACTTCAGAAACAAAATTAGTGCTTGCATAGCGCTAAAACCATCAGGATGGCACAATGCACCGGCAAATACCAAATTTTCAGGAGTTGCAAGAAATTCCTACAGAGTCTGTGCAAAACGGATTCCCTACGCCTGGCTCAATTCTCAAATTGGTGCCTATTTTCTTACTTAGTATATAACGGACCATACGCTAAGAATAGATAAAAGCGGGAAGCACATTAGCGCTTCTCTTTTACACGGATCACTTGTATCCCAGGAAATTTTGCACAGCAATTACCGTATTATACCCGCTAAAGTAGGTTGGATGTACATTAATTCGAGAATGAGCACAGATGATAATTTGAAAACTTACTGTTTCTTCTCTTGATCTTCTGGCTTCTCTAATTTGAACACATGAACAGTTTCGGTATTACTCGAAGAACACAAATACGTGGAGTCGGCAGAGAAAGCCAGAGAGTAGATTGTCACGCATCTGGAAAACTGCGGATGTAAGCTACCTAACATCTGACATTATAGCAGCAATGATCTACCTGGACATTCCTCGACGGAATTCGAACAATCTTGTCCCTTGAGGAACACTGTAAACACGTATAACTGTTCCTTTTATGCTTGCCGTTGCAATCATTGTACCTAAAAATGTATGCAGTCAAGGGATATTGTATGTGATACCGCTTATAGCCTGCTAACCATCTGCGTTGAACTTGAGACAGGCCAAAGGTCCGTCGTGAGCTGTGAAAGTGTTAACTGCCGAAAGGTTCATACAATCGAAGATATGCACCTGAACTTTCGTGCATCGGATATGTAATAAAATTGAACAGAAGAAATTATTCATACTATAACTACGCTTCTAGCAGAAATGAATAGGGTGCTATAAAGAAGCTTTCGCTTGAAGAGAGCGTAAGCTCCTTTGCTATCCTTACAAGGAATGCATAATATGGACAATACATGGGACAGGGAAGTCCTACTATCGAATGATATCTGACAAAACTGGACTATATCAAGCCGCACAAGCCACTGCGTTGAGAAACCTGACATTTCATTTAGTTGTAGCAATTTGGTTGAATACGTTCCTATAAGAAGGCCAACCAATTTTGGTAGATGCAACAATGCAAAGGAGTATGAAAAACTCATAAGCTTAGACATTCGCAATGCCAAACTTTACTGGAGCCCTCCTAATCCTCCCCCACCATCCTCATGCAAACCACTCCCGCGAAATTCGAACGTGGCGTTCTTTTGATCCAATTCGCGTTTTCCTATATTTAAAGACGAGTTTGCTTGGAGGTATATTGTAAGCAATTTTATAGGAGAACTACTGTCGAGCCATTCGAAGTAGAGCCTGCGGGTTAAAAGATCGGGAGAAAAAACTTACGGTCAGCTTTGCGCTGCTGGGTATTGCTATCAAACAGCTAGCAGTAGTGAGAGACTCGACTCAAGCAGCCGATTAGAGCGTATCAAGAAATGGAATGAGAGCTGAAATCTAAAAAGCAATAAAAAATCACTTGCACATAGAAAAGGAGAGCAAGGGCACCAAGGGCGCCTATTCATTGGATATAGTTCAAATCAAATAGAATGTAAATGGATTTACATTTCCTAATACATCTGGACTAGAAGCCGACTTTAAAAAACCATTAAGAAAACGAACAGCCTGACTAATCTTTTAATTTGGAGATACTATGTTTTTTTTGCCTAACTGAACTTACACATAATGCCCTTGGGCGTTTGGCTCCTTCGGCAGTGTGAGACCGGCGAGATTTTGCGAAAGCAGCTACCCCACCTTACAACGTCGTCGGATTTCGAAACTAGAACTCAAAAAAATGAATGCACGAAATCATTTAAGGAATATCCAAGGCAGCGTAGTAGTGGAAATTCTCCCAGAAGGACGTGTAATGTTATGCGATTCAACCAAAACACATATTTAATATTAGTTTCTATAGTTAACAACCTACCATCTTACAATTACAACTTACAAATAAAGAGAATTGAGATCCCGACCAGTGAAAAATTTCTTATGATTTTCAGGGAAATCTTGCCAAGCCAAGTAATCTTTGCTAAGTACGTGAGGTATCTTTACAGAAGAAGATGAAAAATGAAAGAAGATGCGCGGTAAACGAAGCATGTAAATGGTTACACCAAAAAAACTTGTGCGATGTGATGCATCATGTTGTTTGTCACGACGGCCCAAGGATATGGTCAATATGGTTCCGTTGCCTGCAGTTGTTCAAAGAACGACCGTGGAAGTTGTGAGTTAGCCTGCGCAAAAACTGGTCCAGACCCCCCGAATATGAGTAAGAACGGGACAGATTTTCGAACTCTACAGGGTGGTCCAAAATTATGAGGACAAAGACATTGTGTCGTTGAAAACGCATAGCAGCTTGATGGAACAAACCAACTTCTGGGAAGTATTTGTAACTCTTACCTCAAAGTAATTCAAGAATAGAATTGAGATCTGCCACTTCCCCACGACCCGCCTTAGGATGAGGGGGATGGCGCGTGCGGTGGCACGCAACTAAGGCGTGTCCAAATGTTCCAGGACCTTCTGCTGCCTTCTTCAGGAATCAAACTTTTGTGTTGCATTTATTTGCGCTTGCATCCAGGGTGTAAATACAGAAATCTAGAACAATTACAAGAGACTGTTCCCAAACTAACTCCAACAGAAGCAAGACTACACAGACCGCTTGAGTATCGAAACAACATTAAATTGAATGAACAATGAGATCTACGTAGTAATACGGCAGCAGATGAACGTGAATGTGGAATACGGCCTCTAGCAGGTCGACATCGCAGTAAGATAAACCTACATCAAGAGCTTGCTGACTAGCTTAAACGTTGCTAAACAAAAGAACCCAGAAGATCGCCATTCTGTGTATCTTACGGAGGAAAGTTAGCTGATCAGCCCGGCCATTCAAAATGGGATATACCTGTATCGTGCCTCGAGATGCTGAGTTCAAATCTCTATCACTATCTGTAAAGATTTCCTAAGAAGTCTCAAGCAAGAAAGCGCAGATGTAGTAACCCTGACGCATAGGCAAGAGGTCGTGAGATCGGCTCCAGTGCAAGTTCGTACGTTGGTTTTTTCAGATAAATATAGCTAGAAATTTTTTTACACAGTTTTCTAGTCGATCCCATGACTTGCTTGTGACCGGGGTCACTACCGCTACACTTTGCTGCCCCATGACTCTTTTCGGGAAATCGCTCCGTCAATAACGAAAGCGTAGGTGAATTCAGCTCCTCGAAGCGTGGATATAAAAACCATTCCACTTGGAAGAGAAAGAAACCTCGAATAACCTTCTAAAATGACTACGAAGCAGACATGTCTCAAACAATCAAACCAGAACCCACACAAAATAAGGACAGTTCTTACAGATATGTGCAAACATTTCCCATATACACTGTGTGAACAGTTGTGGATGGGAAAAAACGGAAAACAAAAGCATACCTTCATGTCCTTCAGAGTGTAAATAAATATAGAGTCCTCCACACAGACAACAACTCTCTGAAATTCAGATCAGAATTCTAAACAAATCATCAAATAAAAAACGCATGGAAAATACTTACATCTCGATTAAGTTTCACATTCAATACAGACTTTGTGAACTTGTAATCACAAATCATATTCTTGCTCTTGAAGTGGTAAATGTGCATCACTCGGGGTTCCTTTTGTGAGACAATAACAACCAGAGAGGAGTTAAATAACCGCTCCACGATGATTGCCTCATGTATTGCTGGAAAGAAAAAAGTTGTGAATATTCGATTATGGGCCATTGCTCAATAACTGCCACGTTACTTTCATAACCGCATAAAAGCGATTGAGCTCTTTGATATTGAGGCTAGCAGTGGACATATGCCTATGATCTAGTGGTATGGGTCGCTAGGACAGAAAG